GAATATTTATTTATTAGAATAAGACATTGCACCAAGAAAGTGGGTTGTTGACTGATATGGTGATCAACTGGAAATAATTTAAATTATATATGTCTTCATGGTAGGAAATATTCTGAAGCAAACAAAGATAATTTTGTATTTTGATTTCCCATTTTTCAGATGGGGCAAGTAGGATAAGGCAAAATAAAATATTGTCCTTTGTTATTTGTATCATTTTGGGAGGTAGAAAAAGAGGGGACTATTTTCCTTCATGATCATTGTAAATTTTCTCAACGGAAAAATATAAACAGGATTGCTGTCACAATATTCTCAAAATTAGAAAAAAAAAAAAAAGCATTAGTTGTTACTTTAAATGTGACCTCCCTGTACACATCTAAGAAAGACCTTGAGATGCCCAGTGTTATTGTCAAATTGACAGAATCTAGAAACACCTAGGAGATGGGCCTTGAGCCTGCTTATGGAGGGTGCATCTTGGTAGCTTTAATTGCGGTGTACAGATCCATCCACTCTCAGTAATTCCATTGCCTACCAGGATCCTGAACTGCATTAAGTAGAGAAAAACTCATCTTCTTTTGTAAAAATTTGAATGTGAAAATTCATTTTGCCAGAGGAGTTCAATATTTGTCTTTGTGATCCTTAGTAATGATGCAGAGGGTTAGCACTGATTGATAAATAGCCACTGTTTTTGAATAAAATTAAATGAAATAATTCCCATAGCTACTGACTTACCATAGTATGAGAGGTCCTTTAAAGTAAACCTTCCTCTTACAAATATGATTTATTGGAATGGTTAATGGTTTACAATATATCACATGGTAACTAGACTTACTTTGAATATAAAGAGGGAAACCCATTCTATTTTTGTGACCCTATTAGATACTAACTCCATCAAAATTATTAACAAATAGGGCTGGAGAGATGGTTCAGTGGTTAAGAGCACTAGCTACTCTGGCAGATGTTCAATTCCCAGCACCCACATGGTAGCTAACAACCATCTGTAACTTCAAGGGGAATTTGACACCCTCTTCTGGCCTTCATAGGCATTGCATGACATGGGTGCATTTACATACATGCATGTATTACAGCCATACGCATAAAGTGAAAAATAATAAATAAAATATTTTTTAAACTATTAAGAAACATAAACATAAACTTAGATTCTGGTGTGGCAACATTTCAGATATATGAACTAATATTCTGTTTGTTTGGGGGATTTCCAGGTTGTCTACATTTTCCTCATTTTTCAATTAAAAGTACCACAAGAAATTATGATTTTTCAGTCTTTCTGTGTCGCTTCCTTCCAGAAGAACAATGGAGATGCCTTTAAATGGAAGAGGATTGATCCTGTGTCTAATTTGCTTCCTGTTGAATTTGTCAGCAGCACTTGAAATACCACTCTCAGGTAAAAAGACAGCTTCAATACCTGTTATGGAATTCCATTTTGAGTAGAATACTTGTGGATCGATAATGTGATTTTTGAATCGTATTTCTGTATATTTCCCAGTAATCTGTCATAGGATTTATGGTTGCATTTTTCAGTATTTTGATGATGACGTTTAGCTGCTATAATAATTTTCAGCTTAGCCTTCTTATCTCTTATGAAAACTTGGTCTATTACAAGAAATATAACTGATATAGCAGGTGAGATTTTGCTATATGCCTACAACAGACTGGAACTTCTTTTATATGCTTAGTTTAGTTTATTTGAAGGAGAATTACAATTTAGAAATGACTAACATTCAAAAAGAAACAGCAAAAAGGAATTGAATTAACAATTTTCTTTTTCAAAAATGATTTACACTTAAAATGAGAACAATGATTTATGAAAATAACAAAATTGTTTTATAGCTGCAAGTTGTATTGCCCAACATTATTTCCCCATCTAGTGTATTCTAGAATGTGAATTCATTTTAATGGTCACTCAGTGGTCCTATGATCACATATTTCTTAATATGTTGATAAAACTGCATGCATATTTAGTCATAATCAATTTCAACAAATTTTAATATAATAGCTCAAAAATAATACTTTAGCAAAAAACTTTATATAATAATATAAAAAGATTATAATGTAGACACTTGGAATTTTTTTCCTGTTTTTTAAGAATATGAGCTATCAAAGATCTTTGGGGAGTTATTAGAAATTGTTATTTGTGTCCACTGTATTCCCTTCTGTATCTGTGCATAATTTTGAAGAACTTAGGAGGAAATTGTTTTATATTAGAATCTAAGCTTTGAAATGATCATTGTATATCATAAATTCTAGAGAAATGGTCTTGACAGCAGGAAATTTAATAATTAGTAACATTCCAATGGAGAACTGTCAGTTTCTTTTTGAAGTTCTCAGACTAAATGTGAATAGAAAACAGGAAACCTCTGTAGACATAACATGTTTCAAAATCACTTCTGAGGGTTACTTTAAATTGCTTTAATGAAGCAATTTTATGTTATACAGTATCCCTGTAGTCCAGCACCCCTTTGTCAGGTGAGAATCCATTTTCTAATATTCTGTTTGTTTAAGTCAGCATCTCACCATGTAGCCCTGGATGGCATAGAAATAACTATGTAGATTGGGTTCGTTTCGATCTCAAAGAGATCCACCTGTCTCTGCCTCCTGAGCGCTGAGATTAAAGGTGTGTGATCAGCCCTATCTACTATTCTTAATAGATGGTTCAACCTATGTTTCAATATTTAATTTCTTATGGAAGTTCATTTTTTGTTCTATATGCATGGATGCATATATACACTAATATATTTCTTTTTATATGTAAATGGAATCTTTCAGCATGCACAAATACATCAAAATTCATCAGTGATACAGCCTCATGTGTAGTAGATTCTTTGGTAGAGGTGTGTAGGCCAAAGTTAGAACAGCAAGGAAGCCTCTGGAATTCTGAATTCAGATTCTTGACCGAATTCTCTTACAAATACATCCAAACTGCATTTTTCTCATGTCTCCATTAGTGGGAAAGGATGTGTAATTTTGTATTTGTCCATGTCACTTATTATTCTCTTAGTCTTAGCTACTTATGAGCTTTCATGCTGTAATGTCCTTAGACAACAATTGTTATAAAATATTAATGGCATGATTTCAGAACAACTGGATATTGCCCATTTATTTTGCTACTCTAGAGCACTCACTGGTAAATGCAACCAAGGCAGGTATCCAATTTGAATGTCAACGAGTCTGGTGTTTCTGTAATTAGTCTAATTATAGAGGAAAGGATTTGTAATGTGGAATATATATTCATATAAAAACCCAAAGGTTATTAGCTCCCTTCCCTGAATAATTAGTTATTGCTGAGCCTCTACAACCTTAACAAATTTAAGAAAGAATAATGTTGTAATAAACAAGTTGTTCTTGGGTTATTAGCTAATATCTTAGGGACTGTTTCATTTTGCCCTCTCCCTTGCCATTTATAGCTGCAATAGAATTTAAATAGTATGAATTTGAAATCAGCTCAAGACCCAGTCTGCTTAGAAATAGTATTAATCAGAGACAAGGAAATTTTCAGTAAAGATATGTTTTTGCAAATACTAAAATGCTAATCAGTATCAGAAGATACTGCAGTTGAGCTTGTGGGTGCAAGCCAGTGACACTGACTTATCACATTTGTCAGGCAAAAGAAAAGTAAATGGAATTTTAGAATTGAGAAAAGCTTTTAGTTATCATTCTAAGTTGGCTGTTGATGCTTAAGTGATGGTATGTGGAAGCCTTGGGGTCTCAGATAAATACTTAGTTGGTTTGTGAGATCTGTTTTCAAAATAATACATGCCCCTCTGCCCTGCTTTTCATTGCCATTGTCATCTGTTAGGATGCTTGGAAAGCTATGGTAGGAAAGTCGCTGTTTTCCTAGTTCAGAAGAAGGCATTGACACCAAGCTCTCCAGCATGCCAGGTATATAACATGGCCAGACACCCATAGCCAGAGGCCCCAAGCCAAAGCAGTTGACTTAAGATTATAATTGTTGAGTCCACTAAACAATACTTTCTTCATTCTTTACCTCTGGATAAGACTGGGATACACTGAAAAACAGATGCAAAATATTTGCACTGTGTGAGGATTTTCTTATTGCTCGATCATATCATTGCTCCAGCTCCCACACTACTTTTACTTGGAAAGATGACTGACAGGCAAATTATGAATGGCTGGACCTGTACAAGGCAGACATTTCTCCCAAAATAAATGAAGTAAGCATGTCACTTCAAGATAAACAACTGTCAACTGTAAAATTTGAGTGCTCAAGTAAAAATTAAAATTGTTGAAGGCTTGTGTCCTCTTGTGAGCCTGAGCCTGAACACAGACATCAGTGACTTTCCTGATTAGAGCAGTGATGGTGTTAACCAGAGTGAAAATTTTAACTTCTGTTATGTAATGTAGTAAATATTTGGATGATCTGCATAACTCAGTAAGCCCTTGCTTTTTCTAAAGACTATTGCGGCATGATACAATAATCATGCATAGGTTAAAAGGACACATAAAATTGTAAAATGTAGGCGCTGGAGAGGTGGCTCAACTGTTTAAAGCACTTGGTGCTCTCCTGAAGGACCTGGGTTCGGTTCCCCGGACCCATATCAGGCAGCTCACAACTGCCTGTAACTCCACTTTCAAGGGATCTGATGCCCTCTGGCTCCATGGGCGACTGTATACATGTGGTACACATAAATTCACTCAGGTACACACATGCACACACATTTTTAAGTAAATCTTCTAAAAATTTATATTATATAGTAGAATAGCATAAAACTTATTGTAAGTTTTAAATTTTATATTACAACAGACATTTACGAATTAAAGGATATCCACAATAATTAGAAAATAATGTAAAATGTCCCATAACTTTCATTCATATATGTGGACCTGAATCTTCTTTGTATCTTTAATTATGACAGCATACAAAAGCAATTGTGGGAATCCAACTGCTTTCTCTTCAGAAATGACAGCTTTTCAAGAATATAAAATGATGTAACTCTTGCTAGGTTTTTCATAAAATGGTGCAAATATTAATGTATTATATGATTAGTTTTAAAGAATCCATAAGTATCTTCAATTTTAACTTCTAATATAGTAAATATTGTTAATTATAACCCTGGTGAACATAAACACTTTGTATTGCTTTCAATTTTTAAGAAGGTAAAGGATTCACAACATGGTCCAGTGTCATGCATGAGGCTTAAGGTGCTATCATTGAATATCACTCATTTAAATCAGTTACTTGTCTAAAAGTTACATTTCTCAAAAACCATATACCAAAGTCACTTCTATGCTACTGAATATTTTGTATTTCTTTATAAATTGTAGGAAGCTCAGAATTTTGCTAGTCTCAATTCAAAAACTATTGAGTGTTTCTCTGTGGTGTGTCATCATGTGTATCAGTTTCTGTTCTGTGTTTCAAAACTTAATCTATTTGTGTCTTCAGCATCTGTGCCTTTTGTTTACTATTATTTAAGTCAAATACTTTTGTTACCAGAGTCATAAATGTAGCTTAACTACTAGACTAGATGAGAAGTAAATTCCTTTAGTACTTAAAATAAATCATTTTCCTTGAAGATTACAAAACTTGCCAAAGAGTAACAGTTTACCATGGGATGAACAAATAGTGGGGAAAGAGATAAAACATAAATTTATGAGGGGGGGTGGCAAATGACTGGTAAGTTCATAGAAAAACTTTTATCAACCAAAATTAAAAAATTAAGAAAATAAGGAGGACATATTTTCTTTCGCAATAAATACTGATTTTCACAACAGTTTTTATGAACCAATATTCAATGATTGCAGGAGTGTGGGAACCATTGTAATCGTGCATTCTCTGTGAAATTAGCTTAGAATTTATCCAGAGTCATTTATATATATGTCCATGTCTGTAAATTTAACTCACATAAATTATTAAATAAAGGAAAACTGTATGCTCAAAGATGCTTACTGAAATACGTATTACCTGGAAAGAAATAAATGAAAAACAGTGATGCCCTAAAATAGACAAGCTATCAAGAAGGACAAGGGCATTTGCATGAAAAACCCAACAGTAGTTATAATGTCTAAATCGAAGCAGGGAAAACTATGAACAAAATTTCCCAAATGAAGGGCTTGAGAGCTGGCTCAGCATTTAAGAGCACTGGCTGTTCTTGCAAAGGCCCTGAATTTCATTCCTAACACCCACTTGGTGGTTAACAACTGCCTATAACTACAGTTTCAGAGGTTCTGATGCCCTTTTTTGATCTCTGAGGACATCGTATACATGAGTGCACTAATATCCATGCGGGCAAAACACTCATACACATAAAACTAAAATAAAATTTAAAAATATTTCCAGATAACAGGACTGTGTAAAAAATGAGCATACATGCTAACACAGATAGAACACCAATGCTGTTTAAAATAGATGTTGTGATAAGATGATTTTTGTTCTGCTTTAAAATTGTCGTATTATTCAGTGGTTAAGTAAACTTTGTAGATGAGGCTCTATAAAATGATGGCAGTGGAGTACATTCCATAGACACATTTGTTATGAATAGGCAGCCAGTTTATTACAGTGCTTTCATTTTACTTACCATATTAATGCTTTACTCATGGCTATGGCAGAACACTTGACAAAGCGTACCTTGTGAGTAGAAGGATTTGTTCTGCTCACAGTTTGGTGGGATACAGTCCATCACAGCAGGGATGGTGACGAGAGTGTGCAGATGCTCATATTACATGGGCAGTCAGGAAGCAGAAGGATGGATGCTGGTGCTCAACTTGTTTTCCCTGTTTCACTCAGTCCAGGTCTCCAGTTCACTGGATGGTGCTCCCCATATTAGGGTCTGTCTTCTTTCCTCAGTTAAATATTTCTGGGAAAACCCTCCCAGACACATTCAGGAATGTGTCTCCTGATGAGTCCAAGGTCACTCAAGCTGGCAAAGAAGATTAGCCATCTCATGTACCAATACAGAAAGCACATTTTGAGTTTCTTTTTTGATTTCCATCTTGTTCAGTATTTGAAAAGTTTGTTCTTTAAATATATATTTTACTTTACAGTTCAGCAGGTTCCAACAATCATAAAGCAAACACATGTGCAAGTTGCCTTTCCTTTCGATGAATATTTTCAAATTGAATGTGATGCTAAAGGAAACCCAGAACCAATGTAAGTATACATTAGCAAATATATAATAAACAACATACTACTGCACACTTAGAAAACTTCTCTGAGGCATTCTAGTGAGACAAGGTATCACTATATAACCCCAGGCAGCCTCCAGCTCACTATGTAGACCAGGCTGGCCTTGAACTGACAGAGATTCATCTACCTCTGCCTCTTAAGTGCTAGGATTAAAGATGTATAATATTTTTTCACTCTCACCATCGTATGTTAGTATACAAATTTACATCTGATTGAAGTTCTAACTTTCCAAGTAAATGAAAGTTATGCCTACAAAAATGAAAAGTATTTATTTCTTGTGTGCTGCACATAGCTTTTTACATTATCATTTGAATCATTCCATACTTGAGTAGAGTTAACTGTATACTTTTCTTCAATTCCGCAATATTTTTTGAAAAATTTAAAATTTTTTTTGCTACTTGTCTACTGTCATTATTTCTAAAGAATTTCCCTGAAGAAATATTGTAACAAATACAAAAAGAAAAACATATACAGTTTCCTATCACAATATTATTTATAGATAGAAAAGCATTGAAATGGATAAGTAAAAAATGGTAAACCTATAACAAGATACTATATAATCATCAAATTATGTTTAGTACAACTGAAAAATTGACAAATAATAATCAGAAAAATTGTACTGTTATCATGGATTCAAAAATATGTGAAAAGTTTGAAAATACAAGTAGGAAATATGAATTCTAGTCAATAGAACTTGATTGTGTGAGATTTTTATTTTGAGTGCATTTTCTATACACAGAGACACATTCATTGAAGCATATATTTGTCTTTTTAGCATTTTCTTAAATATAGCAATAATCTGGAATTATATCTCTAATGGAAAATATTTTAAAATGACTAATTTAAAAGGAAAAGAGTAGAACTGCCTTCATTTTTATTTTCTCAGTTCTTACGGCATTTTTCAGGGTGATGCAATGTCTTGGATTCTTCTGAGACTCTTATTTTCATACTGTTACACTAATTGTACACATTTTGAATGAGAAATTGCCTTTGTTTTATCATTTGTACATTTGTACAAATGTCTAAAAATGTTTTTAAAAAAGATGCCATGAATACTTAAGAGAACTTTATTTTACAGATTTTCATGGACTAAGGATGACAAGCCTTTTGATCTTTCTGACCCTCGGATAGTTGTATCTAACAATTCAGGAGCATTCAAGATTCTAAATGAGGGGCATATATCTCACTTTCAAGGGAAATACCGATGTTTTGCTTCTAATAAACTAGGAGTTGCTATGTCAGAAGAAATAGACTTCATAGTTCCAGGTAAGCTTTATGATGAAGATTTCATTGACAACTGAGTTGGTGAAGTGCTAAGTGTATATAATGACCTCTAACGAAATAAGTCAGTATCAATTTAATCAGGAAAATTCTCTTCATGGTCTTGATATTTACAGTTAGAAGGCCCCAGAAAGTACCATAATTGTGCGGTGTTTTGGTAACCTTATATCTAACATGGGAAAAAGTAACTGTTTTCCATATACAATTATGATTAAATCTACAATTAGTTAAATTTAGCTAAATTAATCTTCAGTAACAGAAATCCTGATGCTCCTACATCAACACAAAGCTATTCTTCATTGATGCAGTGTTGTCTGGTTCCGGCTACTCTTTAGGACTGTTCTTCATGCACCTTCTGGGCAATCCAGGCTGATGGAGAAACCATTGTCCTTGGCATACTTCACATAAAATGCATCACCTTCATCAAAAACTCTGGCACAGTAAGCGTAGAAAATATATGAACGATATATAAACAACAACAAACAATATGCTTTAAATGCCTATAAAGTAGAAGTTACCAGGCAATCCCTACACATACTTTGTCAAATGAAGAAAGCAAGTTGTGTAATCCCAGTTAAATTCTATAATTTCACAACAGGAGATGAAAACTAGCCACTGCAAATGTCTACATAGACACAGTAGATATTGTAGAGAAATCTAAGTGTTTTTGTAATTAAGACTGCTATTTTCCAAGAACTATCACCAAGTTTAGTTTATGCTGTTAACATAATTCACCTATGAGCATGAACTCTCTAGTGTTCATATTTAGTCATTAATTCTTTCTGATCTTACAGCATCAAACTTTACACAATAACAGGCAAAAGCTTTATAGGGGAATTTCTTTCTTTTCACTTTAAAAAATTACTGAGAATTTCATACATGCATATAATGTGTTTTGATCAAATCCACACTCCCTCCCCTCCAACTTTTTTCTGACAACTTTGTGCTCTCTTTCTGTTTTTTTTTTTTTTTTGTGGGGGGGGGTTGCTACTGTAACAGTCTCCCTTCTGAAGAGGTAACCCTAAATCTTTCAGGGGTTAGATAAGAGTGCCCAAATACTTTGGACATTTTTGACCTTTGGAAAAGAGTATGTTGCTAAGAGGCCCAAGGACATTTTGACTTTTAGCCAGTCTGATTGGGGTAAGGTGAAACCTTAGGATGGTTTTAATTTGCGTTTCCCTAATTACTAACAATGTTGAACTATATGTTGCACAAAGTAAGAAATTACACTTCTCTAGAGATGTTACACATTGGGGTTTTCTCTAATATCTAAGACAACCTCTAGTCATATGTATTTGGCTATATTTTTTAGTACCACACGACTTTCCTCCCATTGAGTGGGCTTTATATTCAATTATGTAGCTGTTGATTATCCCCAAGATAAAAGTGTCATACTGCACTAGTGTCATTTGCTGTGCCGGTCTTTGGTGTTATGTAGTTATTAGGCCTTGAAGCTGGATTTGGACCATCAATTGGCATTCTCCCTTAACAGCTTGTGCAGTGTTCTCCAAAGCTATGAGAGCTAGCCTTCAGGGAGGTGGCTTCCATGTCAGTTTCAGCTCAATTGCTCCAAATCCTATGTCTGAAGTATCCTGTCTTCAGCAACAGGGTCTTACCTTCAAGTTCTGGGAGACAATCAAGGGCTGTGGCAATAGGCTGTGTAATTGTGGGAGTCTCTTGGACTACCCTGACCAACAACTCAAAGGAATGTTTTTCCTGTTTATCACTGTTTCTTGTTATGTAGCTTTCAACTATACACATGGACTCATGTAGAGATACTGTATATGTAATTTGTCAGTAGGTTTTTGGACTAAGATGATTCGCTCTATTTTTTACACTTACTAGGCCTTATCTTTTCTCTCTCCTTCTCTCTCCCTGTCTAACCCACCCTCCATGCCTACCCCCTTTAAAGTATCCCCATTTTCTCCATTTCTCCCTTGATAATAACAGCCCCCTGTGATCCCACTGCTCTTGAGCTCCTTCTTTCCCTTTGTCTCCAAAGCTCCTTCTATACCCTCCCTCCCTTTCCCATTTAAATACCCCCATTTTACCCATTTCTCTATTATTAACACCTGTCTCCTACTGTTGGTCTTTCTCAGGTCCCTTCTTTCCCTTTACCTCCCTGGTTCCTTTCCATTTTCCAGGTTCCTGCAGTTACATCAGGATATATATTCACATATAAGAATTTGGTGCTAGGATCCTAAAATGAAGGAGAACATACATCATTTATTTCTAACTTACAAGTCAAATAAGAAATAGGGAAAATATTGTAAAATGACGATATTGAAAATTCTACACAAGAAGATGTACTTGATGCAGTAAAAGTATTATTGAAAAGGATAGTCAAGAGTCTAAACTTCATGAGAAAAGAAAAAAGATACAAATCAATGGTAAAGGCAAATTATGTAACAAAATCTTGAGATAAAAATTAATGGGCTAAGAAGGTAATAGAAGAAGGTGAAGATAGTAGATATTGGAGAGGCAGAAAATAAATTCAAGTGATACACATTTATTATGAGAAGCACTACACATTCACTAAAGATGTAAAATGGGGCTTCGCAAGATGATATAGTCTATAAAGTGTTTTCCATGCAAGCATGAGGACCTGAGTCTGATCCTTAACATATGGAAAGTACCATCACTAAGGTTTGTGCACAGTTCTGTAGAGGGAAAGATGGGCAGATCTCTGGAGCTTCCTGTCCAGCCAGGTTAGCCCAATCAGTGAGCTCCAACTTCAGTGAGAGACAATTGACTTAAAAATAAAGTGGAGAGTAATCAAGGAAGACAACCAGCATTGACCTTTGGCATAAACACACACACACACACAAAACATACACACACACACACACACACTCACTCACACAAACAGAACAGGTCATCAGATATTCTGGAACTGGAGTTATAGTTGGTTGTGACCTTCCATGTGGGTGCTGGGAACAGTACCTGGGTCCTCTGCTGTTCTGGCCTCTGAGCGCACTGCATGCATAGGTTTACTTACATACATGCAAAGTACACATAAAACAAAATCTAAAAAATATTTTTAAACTGGGGATAAAGAGATGGCTCAGCAGTTAAGAGCACTGACTGTTCCTGCAGAGGATCTGTGTTCGAATTCCAACACCCACATGGCAGCTCACCACCATCCTAACACCAGTTCTAGGGGATTCCGTACCCTCTTATGTCCTCCACAGGCACTGTATGACAAGGATGCGCTTACATACATGCTGGAAATATACTCACACACAAAAATAAAATTATATATATATATATAAATTAACTAAGGAACAAATCTAAAAATACAAGGTAAAATTATTTATAGCCTCAGGGAAAATATTTTGATAACCCATAGCATCCACTTCAATGAACTAATGAGCAATACATTTGACTGCATTTAGTATTAGATTCTATTTTTGTGAAAATACTTCCAGAAAGTGAAAGATAAGCCACTCCTCAGAAAAAAAAATCACCAAATGATATAATCTCAAAAATCATGTATTCACAAATATTTTCACAAAATTCTAAGGAAAAATTGAAAGTAGGCAAAATGATAAAAATAGATGACCCTGAACTTTAGACTAGCCACTAAAAATGGGAAAATGTGTTTAACCTCATGAGTAACTAGAAATAGTCTATCTTTAACATAAATAATAAAAACCTTTGATCATACATAATTGGGAAATATTTCATAAAGTCTGAGAGTAATACTTTCCTGTAGGATATGCAGCTTTCTGAACATCTGCTCACCAATGATGATGTTATTGGGAATTAGGTCCAGAGAGCCACTGCCTTAATTTCCCTATGTTGCAATTAAGAAACAAAAATGGATAATGGAAATATTCAGGAAGACTTGCGGATAAAGAAGTCTAATTTCCTCCCCATTATGTTTTGACCATGTTACATTTTATAGGGAGCCACAACATGGGTGGAACAGATATGAATTTTCATGTGATGGGTTAGTCTACTTTCCTGGGGAAGGAGACCTGGGAGCAGGTGTCTCTGTTCTCTGTTTTAGAGATACATAGTTTTTACTCAAGTCTGGAATGAAGAAACTGGGGTCTTAAGGTTTTCCTATTTTGAAAAAGAAAATGACCTGGTTTTGTGAAACAAAAGATTTCATCCATTCTGTATTTCTGTTGAACACACTAATTTGCCAACTTTTAAAGAGGCAATGATAGCTTGATAGTCAAGTGGAAGGGCATAAGTATCTCTTGTTAGACTATGTCTTCCCCTGCCAGAGTTTCAGCCCAGGAATAGGAGTACAGTGACAAGACAGCTTACTGCTTTATCTCTAGGAAGTATTTTGTCCCAGCTCCTTAAAGATACGTTTATCAAACTAAGACCCCATATAGTATTTTAGCCCCTTTCCCAGGTGTATATGACCCTTGTCTATACATAGCAGCAATGTTCTTGGTGCCACGAGTAGGTTTGCTGTAGACATACATGCATTTATTTGTAGACATGTATAATACATATATATATGAAAAATCTAACAAATGACTTACAGTGGAGTGTACTGTTGTACCAAAGATGAAATTTTCACCTCATATGAAATAAAAGGTAGTTTTTTTTTTCCTAGAGCCAGATATGAGTGACCTGAGAACATGGCTTGAGAATATGGATTCATGTTTCACCCAGTACCACATTCCAGTGTAATGAAAGTTTCATGAGGACTTTCTGGTAACCTAAAAAAGAAAGCTGCAGATCAAAGAATTTAAAAATATTGTCATGGCTAATCCTGATTGTCAAACTGACACAACTAAAAAGAGGGAACCAAAACTGAGGAATTTCTTCCATCAGATTGGCCTGTGGCTATGTCTTTAGGGCATTTTCTTGATTACTACTAGATACAGGAGGGTCCAGCCCATTGTGGGCAGTGCTATTCCCAAAGAGTTAGGCCTGTGCTGTATAAGAAAGGGATCTGAACATGAACCCAAGAGTAAGACAGCAAGCAGTGTTACTCTTCAGTCTCTGCTTTAGTGCCTGCA